TTGGATTATCTGTAGTTAGCTTTCGTTTTTCTTTAAGTAAAAGAGATTCAAAGCCTAAAACTGTCGGCCTTGGAAAACTTTTTGTCGAAGAATCTTCCAAGAACAAAACTAGCCCCTGGGGGTRGTGGTAAGCTGTGTACAAAATTCCTAAGTGGGAGAGTATACTCGCGCAAAAAAAACAAAAAAAACAACAACAACAACAAAAAAAAAACCGATGTAGTGCATTTTGATTCGATTTCACTGCATGGTTTTTATTATGGGAGAAATTATCATCATTTCGAATAAAAAATTATTGAAGATTTTTTCCCCGATCTTATTTTTACCTTTCAGTTTCATTCAAATTGTTCTCCCTGTGACTTCCGTATCGGGAGCTCCGCTTTTAGGCTATGCCTAAATATATATATTATCATTTTATACTAAAACCGTTCAATGATAATTTATGTTAACCAATGCCCTGAGATTCTATAGAGAGAGAGTAATCTAATAAGTGTGCAAGGCACACTCCAGTCACTTTGTTTAGTTATTTTATCGTAACAGACGGAGTAAGTTTAGGCACAACAGAAGCAGATTTAGCACAGAGTCGAATTGGTGCCTTGCAAATTTTTTTACCTGGAAACTGAAAACGTTGCCTTTCCTATCTTATCCTATATTGATCGTACAATTTGTGAAAAACCTGCTTGGTTGGTCTTGGTAAGAGTAGTCGCACTGTAAACATCTATAGCATAAAAACTAATATTAAAACACACAAGATTTACATACCTCTATTGTTGATAGCCAGTCTCCTAGATCAAACTGCATGGGTTGTTTGGTTTTCTTTGCTTCCTGAGGTACTTGTTTAGTGTTGCCATCATAGTCCTTTGTCTTCTTCTTCTTCTTTTTCTTCTTCTTTTTACTCKGACCTTCATTCTCATCGTGGTCTTGTTTATCTGGTGTTGTACTGGAGTACTTTTCATTGGGTAAGTTTCTTGATGGTTGGGTCTATCATAGAGAATGGTTAGGTATTAGGTAAATTGATAGAATGAATGCAAAGAGTAGACAGAGAAATAGGAAGGAAGGAAGGCAGGAAAAGAAGATACAAGGGATAGGAGGGAGGGAAGAAGGCGGCCATGTAAGGAATAAGGAGGCAGAAAGGAAATAGTTAGGTTTAGGTAAATTGATAGAATGAATGCAAAGAGTAGACAGAGAAATAGGAAGGAAGGAAGGCAAAGGAAAGAAGATACACAGGATAGGAGGGAGGGAAGAAGGTGACCATGTAAGGAATAAGGAGGCAGAAAGGAACCACAAGATAGGAAGTCAAGTAAGGAGAGAGGTATGTACGCAGGTGGTGATGAGGGGGCGAGGAAGTAGTGCATAAAGGGAGACAGGAAAGGAGGAAAGAAGCAATGCATGAAAAGTGGCAGAAAAGTACACTGCATAACAGGGGCGGATCCAGGGGGTGCCCACCCACCCCTGGTTCAACTTTGTACCCCTACTTCGAAGTAACCAATACTTCTAAGGGGTGCAACCCCCCCCCCCCCGAGTTAACTTTGTGCGAAGCACCCCTCCCTGAACAAAATTCTGGATCCGCCTAGCATAAGATGTTAGCAGGGGAAGGGAAAGGAAGGTAAGTAAGGAGGGAGGTAGGGAGACACGCATAAAAGGGATGTCAGGAAGGAGGGAGGGGCATGCAGGAAAAAGGGGGAGTGAAGCAACAAAGGAATGAGGAAAGTAGTTTGGGAAGGAAGGAGGGGACCAGAAAGGAGAGGCAGCCACAAGAAAGGGAATGCTATAAAAAGGATTGAGGAGGCAGGAAGGAAAATAGGAAATGAGGAGGGAGGGAAAGGGGGAAGGGGAAAGGGAAGGGAAGGGGAAGGCAAAGGCAAGCAGGGAGGTGAGCAAAATGATAGGGAGGAAAAAGGCTAAAGAAAATTAATGCTGTGTAAAGAGAACAAGGGAGAGGTCAGGAAGGGAAAGAGTGAATGAGGAAGGAAGGAATGGAGGGAACCTATCCTTCCATCATGACAAGACCTCAAGGTCAAAAACTTGTAACCAACCTACCTTGGGCTTTGGCATGGCCTTCAATACAGCACTGTAAGATAAAATGGGAATTCTACTCCCACCTGACAAACAGTCACTGGCCAGAGAAGTACTTGATGCTTTACTTGACGCTTGTAAGTCAGGGAATTCATCATCACCTTCATGAAGTTCAAATTCATGATCTTGGGGAACTGCTACCTCCTCATGGGGTAAATTCCTCTCATTGTTCTTTTTTAGCAAAAGTTCTATCTCTTTTTAATTTTGTTCGGTTTTTATTATCTTTACAATTTTTACCTTTTTCGGATCTTTCTCTCGAATAGTTTTGTTGGTTTTGCTTTCAGATTCAATACCTACACTACTATTTTTTAAGAAAGCTTTGCTCTTTCCTTCATAATCTTTACTTTGTCTGCTTAAATCTTTTGTTGCAATTATAATTTCTGGAGTAATTTCTTTATCTTCAAAAAGCTTCAAAAGTCTTTCTTTTCTGTTCATTATTGTCCATTTTGTTTTTCTTTCTCCTCATTTCTTATTCTTTTCCATTTTTCCAGTTGAGGTTGAGAATTCACACAGTATTCTTATCATCTCTTTCATTCTTTTTTTTAACTTTGCAACCAATTGGTTCTCAAATCCTCCTTTTTTCTCTCAAATTATTTCCAGAATCCTTTTGTTTATCCATTATATTTTGATTTCCCACAATTCTGCCGCTGAACTCCCTCCCTTTCAGCAGTCAAGATAGGAACTTTACATAAATGCTTGATCAATTCTGCAAATACATACTCAGGCTATATACAAAACCTGTTCATAACCAAGTATTGTTCAAATTCTAAGGTGCACTTGATACGATGTATCTCCATTTATTTAGAATATTTTCGACACGAATGTATGGGTATGACTAGATAAAGCTACATTTAGAGGTAAAATAAATGTATACAAATTTTGACACACAAAAAAGTAAACATACTAGAATGCAGTGCTTTATTTGACACCATAGATTGCAAATATATGATTATAGTTTTGAATATCAACTTAGTACATTCAGAAAGTCTCCTCTAGTTACACTCTTATCATAGATCTTCCACCTGTAAGTCCTTTTCAATGGAAACAGACTGATTTTTAACGTCCCATTCATTTTCTTTCTCATTTGTTTCATCTAGTTCCATTTTGTCACTACCAATGTTTTCTGTTTCCAAGTCATCTTTATCTTCACTTTCTTCTGAGCTATTTTCATTTTGTTCCAAGATATCATCTTTCATTTCTTTTTTCAGTTCCATTTTGTCACTACCAATGTTTTCTGTTTCCAAATCATCTTCATCTTCACTTTCTTCTGGGTTATCTTCATTTTGTTCCAATATTTCATCTTTCATATGCCTTTCTCTTTTCCATTCATTCTCTTCATTTCTATTGCATTCATATTCTTTATCCTCCCAATTTTCTTTTGGGCTATCTTCTTTTTGTTGCAAGAGTTCATCTTTTATCATTTCTTCTCTTTCACATTCATACTCTTGATGTTTATTGCATTCAGATTCTTCATCATCTTCCATTTTTCTCATTTTTCCACAGTAGCTATCTTTAAATACTTTGTCCTTTTCATTTTTCAGTTCATTTTCGCTTTCATTTGGAATTTCTGAAAATGAAGGTTTACTTCAACAAAGAATTTAGGAATATTTCTCTTCTTTTTGCAACATGGAAGCAGCTT